TAAAAGACCATAAAATGATAAACTAAGATATTAAGATTTGGATTAATGAAAAGCAGATGATGTCATTTATATAAATTAATAAATATAAAAATTAAAAAAAGTTAAAAAGTTAAGAACTTACTTTGAAATGCTACATAGGATAATGTTTCAAAATAAGTTATTATTTTAAGGTCTTCATGTTTTATCAAATAAAACTTATAGCTTATTTGTAGCTTAAAATAGAGCTAAAAGCTAACAACAAAGGGATAATTTTTTTAATATTCACATAATTTTACTTTTTGAATTTCTTATAAAGCTTGACATGTTATTGGGTCATCAATCTCATCTTCTTTACTCCTAATAGCTTAAAATGTATGAGTAACTATAATCTTCAATAAAGTTCTTTGTGGTATTGAGAAAACTTGTTATTATTTTTGCAATTGACCACCAATTGCTACATCAAAACAATAAATATATTAAATATGTTATATGTATTATTAAAAATTTAAACTTTAAAACTAGTATTTAAGTATTTTACCCGGATCATATTATTCATCATTAGACTTACATCATTTTACCGCAATCGATTTCTCAAACATGTCATCTTTCATCTAATACTTGGACAATTCCTCCTTTAATATCTTGTTTTGCATTTCTATATCACCAAAGTAATATGTTTCGAGGAACTCAACGCTTCCAATAGAAACATCAGCATCCAAATGAAGCACAGGATCCTTATAATGGTAATAAGGATTCAACAAGAAAGCGATAAAATAAAGATCAAATCAATAGTATAACACATTTTTTAATCTCTATATTCATAATTACAAAACTCTATATTCATAATGTCATACCTCTATATCCACAATTATATCAATAGTATCACATAATATTTTGAATTTATATTCACAATTTTTGAACTCTATATTTACAAGTTTTGAACTCTATATTCACAATTACATAACTATATATATAATCACAATTACATAACTCAATATTCACAAGTAAATCAACAGTATAACACATTTTATATGAACTCTATATTCACAATGTTTGAACTCCATATTCACAATTTTTGTACTCAATGTTTCACGATTTAGGACTCAATAATCCTAAAAAACCACATTCACAAAATATATACTGAAACTACATAATTTGTTTGCTTAAAGTTCACAAAATCTATACTGAACCATTGTAGTCATCGACATTAACAATCCATTAACAATGTTCATACATTACGGTTTATGTTTCATAAACCATATTCTAAACTCTTCAAATTAGTTCTCAATTTATTTCTCTGTGAAATAATAACCTCTTTTTTTTTTTTTTAAATTTAAAAAATTCATAATACTTTACAAGCTATATATGTTCTGTACTTTCAAGTTAGAAGCTTATTTTGAAGCTTATTTAGAAGCTTATTCAAAAAAGTAAAATTACGTGAATATGAAAAAATTACCCCTTTGCTGTTAGCTTTTGGCTCTATTTGATAGATCTTATTTTAAAGCTTATAACTTATTTTAAGCTACAAATAAGATTTAAAACTCAATTTAATAAAACATTGAGAGCTTAAAATAATAACTTATTTTGAAACGTTGTCCCAAGTAGTATTTCAAGATAATAAGTTTTGGTTCTACTGATACCGATACCAATCCTGGCACCTGTCTGGTTCAATGTTTACAAGGATCTGATCAGGATTGCTCAGATCAAGAGTACTAAGTAGTGGGATGATTTATCACCTTCAGAGTCTCTATGTTAATTTAATAGACATTCACATTGTGCAAATTAAGCAAAAACAGGCATTACGTATAGTTAGAAAAAGGAAACAATTTTGGTTGAATAATGATGTCTCAGGCATCAAAATCAAAATCAAAATGTATCAACCTAGTTACATCTTCCATATTGCATATAAAATCCATAAACGAACTGGAACTGAGTTCAGGTAAAGTCTCTACCGGAACACTAGAACTGATGTAGTGATCTTGATCCCTATCCATATCCCCGGCCGCCGGTGCCAATGTTGTCTCCGCTGGAACGATTAATGTCTCCATGGGAACACCAACCAAGTATGAATTCATATCATCATCATCATCCGCCTGCAGTGCTAATGTCTGGATTGGGGATGGAGCCATAATCGGCGACCACGTTGTCTCAACCTCCAAATCGGTTGTTGTTTTTTCATCATCATCATCATCATCTTCATCTTCTTTCTTTCGCTCTAGGCGGCAAAGCACGAAATCTTTTCTCTCTTCCACAATGGGATATTCTGCCCTAGCTTTCTTGATTATAGACTCCGGCAGGGAGAATTCTTTGAGCAGCCACTGTCGGTCTTGTTCCGGTTCACTCCGATTCTTGTAAATGAAGCACCGTTTATATCCCATCACAAACCTCCCTTTCTTGTCGAAAACTGGTTTACCTTTGTCCTGGCCGTGCCAGTTTCCGGACCTCTTCCCGTTCTTCCCTTTCTTCCCGACGGTGCGTTCAACCCTACATCCCGTCGTCGACTTGCCCTTCTTCTTCAACCTACTCAAAAAGTATGCCATATTTTCCGACGGACCACAGCGGATTAACTCCCATGGTTTCTTCCTCATCAATCACCCCTTCATCATCCTTTCTCCCTGTAGCAAATTCGAACAGAAACTTAACCACATTGTAATCAAAAGATTGGAAGCGCGAACCCAATGGAATCTCCATAACGCCAAAACCTTCGTTTCGATATGATCGATCCCCCGCGCGCCTAGCGGAATGGATATATATGATAGATATATGGGAATGGGATGTTAATTTACTACTCCAATTTATACCATTCCCATTTCCCGCCCGATCCCTACATACTATACGTACGTACTCGGTACTTCTATGAGTTCTATCCTATAATCGTCGATTAGGAAGAATATTTATTTTATTTATTAAAAATCACTAGAATATCCATATTAATTACAAGGGTATCAATGTAATTTAAATTCATTATTAGGGAAAATGGCACTTTTTCCCCTAAGTTATATACTTATAGCATTTTTTTTCCCTGAATTATTTAAGTGGCTCTTTTTCTCCCTGAAATGTTAAATGGACATATTTACCCTTAAAATAAATATTTAAAGTAAATATTTCATTTATTTTTATTCTCCAACAAATTATTACTATAATTTGGTTCAAACCAAACATATACTATAGCAACCAAACCAAAATATTTCAATTACAATTTATAATCAAAATGCGATATTTAGAGTTTATTAAAATCGCGGACCGGAATGGCCGGTTCATGTTCCGAACTGAAAAATAAAATATATTTATTGTTGAATTTAGACTATTTTAAAATAAAAAATAAAATTTTAAAATAAAGACGGTTCAAAATCGCGAACTGGATCCGGAATCGCCGGTTCACGGTTCATGATCCAATTTTTTTAATTCTTAAATTTAATAAATTGAAATCCAAATATTGGGTTCTAGATCTGAATCATAACTGAAAACTTTTAATTCGATCGCTATAGTGTCTGGTTCAGTTCGAACCGAACCGTGGTAATCGCTACATATACGCAATAATTTGTTGGAGAAGTAAAATAAATAAAATGTTTACTTTAATGGTAGAAATATCAATTTAATATATTAGGGGGAAAAATCACCACTTTTAAAATAATTGAGGGGACTAATGTGCTTACATAAATAATTGAGGGGAAAAAAATGCTATAAGTATATAACTTAGGGGGAAAAAGTGTCATTTTCCCTCATTATTATTACTAAAATAGTCACCCAACTAGCTATTTAATAATTCTCAAATTGGTAATCAATATAGTATTATTATTTCACATAAAAATAAATTGTGAGGGTTGGGCTGATTACATGCAAGAGTGCATTGTTATTGGTAATTTGTATATTTGAAAACTTTCTATTCAACATTATGATTCGATTTTGGGTATTGCAAATGTTAGTATTACTCCCAGTGGCAGGTGGAGTTCAAATTATGAATGTTAGCACTTCTTAAATTAGTAGTGATAAGATGTTTTATTTTAATCATATCTGAATGTTAGCCCTTCTTAAAATTAATAAGGAATTTAATTTTCATAAATTATAAGCTACTATACCTGATTTTTTTTTTTTCAATATTTTATCTCCTCTACTTTTCTCATGTGATTTAGTTTCATTGTTTCAAATTATGTCATCATGTATTTATAATTACCTGACGTCCAAACCTTCTTCTTACTATCTACTAATTCATCTCTCTATAACCATACATATTCCTACATTATAATGGGATACTTTGTGAATAAAATCTATGCATATTTTAAAGGTATTTATTTATTTATTTATTTATTTATTTTGTTTCAAGCTACTTTCTTGGTTAATTTTTTTTTTTTATTCTATTGTTTAATTTAAATAATTCTTTTTCTATTCTAACTGTATATCAATGTCAATTTTTTTTTGTTAATTTTTTGTATTTATGTTGCGGTTAATAATGTGGTGAATTTTACATTTAATTTAATACAATAATGTAAAAGATTGTGTTATATGAGAAAATGTTGTATACTTTAATTTAATTAATTAATACAAATTCTTTGTTACATACAATGAGAGAGATTGATTCCGAATACAGTTACAGATCAGAGATAGAGATAAAATACTAAGAAGAGTTGTTACACGTAATATTCTCTTGACTAATAGACTATCCCTAACTGACTACACTAGCACCACACAATTATTAACTAAATACAATAAGGAAATAATAGCATAATAATAATAATAAACATAACTAACACACCCCCTCAAGCACAAGGTTGGAGCGAGACAACATTGAGCTTGTCACGTAGAGTCTAGAAGCGTGGACCTGGGAGCGGTTTGGTGAAGATATCCGCAAGTTGATCCTTGGTAGACACAATGCTAACAATGAAGTCACCTGATGCAACCTTGTCCCGAACGAAGTGGTAGTCAATTTCAACATGTTTTGTCCGGGCATGAAAAACTAGATTTGCGCAGAGATACGTGGTGGCCAAATTGTCACACCATAGAGTAGATGGCTGGCCAGAGTGTCACCCAAGTTCCCGGAGTAGAGAAACAACCCAAGTGACTTTCGCTGAAACATCAGCCAGAGCTTTGTACTCGGCTTCGGTGGAGGAGCGTGCAACTGTGCGCTGTTTCCTAGAGAGCCAGGAGATGAGATTGGAGCCTAAAAACACAGCATATCCGCTTGTACTCTTCCTGTCAATCGGACATCCAGCCCAGTTTGAATCCAAAAAGGCATGTAAGGCCGAGGATGAAGACGGGGAAAGGTGTAAACCATAGTCGAGGGTGCCTTTGACATACCGGAGAACACGCTTCAGTAGCCCCCAATGCTCCTTAGTAGGTGAATGTATGAACTGACATAGCCGATTAACTGCATAGGACAGATCAGGGTGAGTGATAGTCAGGTACTGCAGAGCCCCCACGATTCGTCGATACTGAGTTGAGTTTTCAAACGGCTGCGTGGCTGGAGAAACTGCCTGAGTGACAGCAGCTGGGGTGGCTAGTGGTTTACAATCCATCATTCCTGCGCGAGTAAGAATGTCCCCCATATAGCGACGCTGAGAAAGAAGCAGTCCACCATCTACCTTCAGTGTCTCAATGCCAAGAAAAAACCCCAGAGCCCCAAGGTCTCGAATCTTAAACGTCGTGGACAACTGATTGAGGAGAGTGTCTAATAGAGCAACATCATTCCCCATCATGATTATGTCATCAACATAGACTAGCAAAAAAACCCGGGTTTCACCGGTGGTGTAGTGAAAAAGTGACACATCTGTCTTCGAAGAGGAGAAACCTGTAGAGATCAAAAAATCATGGAGCCGTTTGAACCAAGCACGTGGCAGACATGATCGGGGTGCATGAGAACTTTGTACCATGGTGGCAGTTTCATATACACTGTTTCTGCTAAGTGGTCATTTAGAAAAGTATTGTGTATGTCAAGTTGTCGTAAGGTCCAGTTATTTGATGCCGCTAGAGAAAACAGTAGCCGGACCTTAGTCGTTTTGACAACAGGACTGAATGTGTCAAAGAAATCCTCACAGGCGACTTGATTGACGCCCTTGGAGATGAGGCGTGCCTTATAGAGCTCAATATAGCCATCCGCGACGTGTTTGGTTCTAAAAACCCATTTGCACCCGATGATGTTCATGTGAGGTTCTGCCGGTACTAGTCACCAAGTGTTATTGTGTAGGAGAGCATTGAACTCCTGGTCCATGGCGTCACGCCAATGGGGATGACCTACAGCTTGTGAGTAGGAAGTAGGGTCAGTAGTGGCACTTAGAGCATGGAACTACTCATTAGTGCCCCGAGTCATGTGCCGAAGACGCATGACGTGTCCACGGTCCTGTGTTGGTGCCCGAGTGGAGTGGGTTGTTTCCGTGGTAGTAGGTGCTTGTACAGCCAATGGGGCGGGATCTCGAGACAAGGGCACGGGCCCCGGCTCGGTGGGCGGTGGAGATGCAATGGGCGGTTGTGTGCTTTGGGGCACAAAGGGCCCGACCGCCCACGGTGCTGAGTGCGCAGTCTGATGTGGTTTGTCCTGTATAACTGAGTCTGAAAAAGGAAAAACAGATTCGTCAAATCGGACATGACGACAGATATAGATTTTTCTAGTTGTTAAGTCTATGCATCTATATCCCGTATAGGACAGAGGGTAACCTAAGAAAACACATGGGGCGGAGCGATACTCTATCTTATGGAGATTATAAGGCCGAAGATAGGGATAACACCGGCTCCCGAATACCTGTAGAAACGTGTATGGAGGTGAAACTTTGTAGATATGCGAATATGGGCTTTGAAACTGTAACACCGAAGAGGGCAAGTAATTTATTAATGTGGTGGCTGTTTCAAAGGCAAAGTCCCAGTATTGTAGTGGTACTGAGCTTTCAGCGAGTAGAGCTAACCCGGTTTCAACAATGTGCCTATTCCGGCGCTCTACTCTATCGTTTTGTTCGTGCGTGTAGGCACACAATTGCCTATGATTTATGCCAAGGGATTGAAAAATGTTATGTAGTTTGCGGTATTCACCCCCTAGATCGGATTGTATGGACTTGATAAAACGCGTGAATTATCGTTGTACCATGACATGAAACGACTCAAAACATTTATATACGTCCGACTTTACCCGTAAGGGATAAAACCAGGTAAATCGCGAATAATCGTCTAGAAATAAAAGGAAATAGCGAAAACCACTAGCAAAAAGTACAGGGGATTAGCCCCAAACGTCCGTATACAATAAGTCTAATACATTTTCACTAGTGGAATAGACCCTATCTAACGGAAACCGTGAAGACTTGCCGAGATGACATGAAGTGCATGTGCCCACCGGTTTGGATTTATTTTCAACCGGACAATTTTGCAGAACTTTATTCAAGACACGACTGTGAGGATGGCCTAGTCTGCGATGCCACATCACTGGAGTGGTTCGTGAACTTAAAAACGCGAAAAGTAACCGTGACAGCGGAAGTGTGTATAGACCGCCAGAAGTGCGTCCCTTAAGCAGAATTGCCCTGGTTATTGTATCCTTCACAAAAAAAAAAAAAAAATAAAATAAAAAATAAAAAAAATCTTTGTGAAATTCAAAAAACACGTTGTATTCATCCGTAAACCGTTGAACTGAAAGTAAAGGAACAGACATATCGGGCACATGCAATATATTAGATAATTTTAGGGATTTTGACACGGAAGGAATAGATGCACAACCAACGCGTGAAATAACCAAACCTGCGCCATTACCCGACTCGCAGGACATCGCTGTCGTTGTATTCATCCAATTGAGACATCATCAACGCATCTGGCATCGCATGGGCGGATGCACCCGTGTCCGGGAACCAGCTGGTGACTGCGGTGGATGCCGACTCATCTCCGGGGACAGTCAAATTCGCCTGCGTCGGTGGGTGGGTGTTGTACCGCTTGAAACAATAGACGGCCGTGTGGCCGATGGAGCGGCATATTTGACACCTCAGAGGATTGCCACGACCATTGTGGCCACCACGACCTTGCCCACCGCGACCTCCGTGTCCACGCCCTTGGCCGTGACTGTCGCAGGAATTGCTGTCGCCGTTCTGATTGCGACTCCGACCAGTGTATAAGGCGGCATGGGCCCGGTGACGAACCAGTGGCCGCCGTTGGATAATCATCAGCAAGAATAAATTCTTGTGCCTGTAGGAAATTAGACAACTGCGGTATGGATATCGGATTACCTGAGACCGTCAAGGAGGCAGCCATGGCCTTGAACTCCGGACGAAGCCCCCGGAACACGAACAAGTTCTGTTCATCGAGGGAAACTGGCCGGTCGGCGAACTGTTGCCTTACCGCATTGACTGAAACTGACCGAGTAAGTTTAGGCAACAATCACGCATAGAGGATCCGAGAGCGGCGGTGATGGATTTCCATACTTCCCGCGAGGTATTCCAGCCAACCGCCAAGTACATAACATCCTCAGATAGAGACGAAATCAGGAGGGAATGGATGGATTGATCTTGCTGCGTCCAGACCCTATAGGCGAGATTAACCGTAGGCACGGCGGCGGTGTCGCCAGACGCCGAGTCACTAGACGGAGGACTGTCGATCGTAGGCGGCGGACATGGTGTTTCTCCATCCACATATCCGAGCAAGCCTTGTCCCCGTAGGAAGGGAACGAGTTGGGTGTGCCAGAACAAGAAATTCCTACAGGTGAGTTTAATAGAGACGAAGTGATGGGCGGTGGCTAGAGTGTTTGGGGTAGTCACCGACGGTGGTGCGGCAGCGGTGACGGTTCTCTCATAAGAATTGGTCGACATGTTTGGCGTTTACGGTAGGGAGAGAGAAAGTAGGAGGATCTAACCTAAGGCTTGGTTGATACCAGATGAGAGAGATTGATTCAGAATACAGTTACAGAGATAGAGATAGAATACTAATAAGAGTTGTTACACGTAAAACTCTCCTGACTAATAGACTATCCCTAGTTGACTACACTAGCACCACACAATTATTAACTAAATACAATAAGGAAATAATAGCATAATAATCACATTACTAACACATACAAGAGATAATGATGAATAACTAATTGTTTTGGGGTGACGAGGGAATCCTCAGCCACTATTTGAGGGTGTGAATAACCATATTGGAGTTATGGGATACTTCCACCTAATGCAAAGGCAAAGCCTAATCCAAGGATTAATAAGGCAATGAGGGGCTGGTTAGGGGCACTTGGTCGAGCAACTTGAAACAATCACGCCTCTATGGCAATAGTCTAGTGGATGAGATAAACAAGCGTAAATTGCTCATAAGTAGGGGTGAGTAAAAAATGAAGACCGACTGAGAAACTAATGACCGATAATCAAATCGATGGAGAATTTTGATTTTCGGCCTAGAACATGGAAACCAACCGAAAAACTAATGAATAAGCCCAAACATTTTAACCTAGTGGCCTAGCCCATAAGGATTTAAAATAATATAATTCATTAGGATGACCAAATACTTATTTAGTATTAGTTGGCCAAATACTAATTCATCAAGATCCATACTATACTAACAAATAATGTACATTTGGTACACATATAATGTACTTTTTGTATATTAAAAATGTACATTATATTCACAAAAAAAAAAAAAAAACATTATTTGAGTACTGAATGTACATTACTTTATATGATGTATATTCAGTGGACCATGGTCCACACAATAATTTGCCTAATTCATCCAATACATTTAAAATCTAAGTAGCTAAGCCCGTAATTAAGCCTTAATTCCCTCTTTTTTTTTCTTTTTTTTTTTTTTTTTGAAAACCAGGAAGAAACTTCATTAATAGCTCACAAGAGCAGCAATACACGAGGGCGGGTTAGTTAATCACGACCCTAGGACAGATGGAGAATCAGTCGCCCGCGCAAGAACATGAGCTACGTGATTTACTGACCTCTTGACATGGCGAACCTGAACAGACCCAATGTCACTAGCAATTTGAAGACATTGCTTTACAATAGAACCAACATACGAAAAATTAGAATGCCGAGAATTAAAAGCTGAAGAAAACATTAAACATAAAAATAAATTGGGAGGGTTGGACTAATTACACGCAAGAGTATATTGTTATTGGTAATTTGCATGATGACACACCATGCAATATTTGAAAAATTTCTATTCAGCATTATGAATCAATCTTAGGTATTGCAAATGTTAGTATTGCTCCCAATGGCGAGTGGAGTTCAAATTATGAATATTAGCCCTTCTTAAGCGAGCAGTGAAAATGTGTGTGTTTTTTTTTTTTTTTTAATGTTTGTCTTTCTTAAAATTAATAAGAAATTTAATTTAATTTTTTGTTATAAATATTATTAATTTGGACATTATTATATATATGGTAGCAGTTGTAACTGATAAGGTTACTACCTTTTATATGTATTCATTACCTTATATTTGTAATACCTTTGTATAAGTATTCTGCATGATGAATGAGAATCTCGACCTTCCCTCTTCTCTCTTTGTCTATTCTAATATTCTTACAATACGCTATCAGCGCTTTGCTCTACATCTTGGGTAAACCTAAACGGAAGCAGTATGTGGATCGTAGGTGCTTGTGCGATAAGCATCGGCCATCCGATCATTGGCCTCCACCCACGACCGGAGTATGTTCAGGGGAAGCAGAAGGGGATGAGAAACAGTCCGAGTTTCCCCGACGTCCATCTACGGTTGGTGTCGTCCCTCTGGCCGAAGCCGTCTG